TGTTGGTAGGCAGGTCGGGCGGGCTAGGGCTCCCATCGGCCAGGTGGCGTGCTGCTAGCGATCATCGAAGGCGTGGCAGCTCTGTTGATGAGGCAGCAGCCTTATGGGGGTTTACGACAACAGGGGGTGCCCTAAATAGACCCAAAATAGACCCCTAAGTAGTAGGATTCCCCTATAATCTCCGGACCCCCAAAATGGGTACCCCTATTTTCGTAAGCCCCCTTACCAACTCCTGCAGACGGATGCTTGCTTGTTGCGGCGAGCAGCAGCGAGTGCACCCTACAACCCTAAACTCTACATCCGAAATTCAAGTGGGGTTTTGAAACAAATGCCGAGTGTATTGCCGTGTATTGATCGGTAAGGATTGCCCACGTTCTTGACAGCGTTTAGCTTGTAAAACGGGCAAGGAGAACTGCACAACACACTGAGGGAAACAACAAGAAGCAGAGAGCCACAGAAAAAAAAAGAAACAGCTTTATAGGACATGTTGAAAACGGTTCCCCCCCCCCCCCCCCCCACCCCCCCGCCTCAAGTTGTCTTCGCACACGTGCCATGCAAGTCAGTCCCGGGGACACTGACACGGCTTTCAAAGCAACATTTATTAGGGGTCCCAGCGGAATTATGGGCCCCCGGGTACCAAATATGGGTCCCCTAAACCTAAACCCCTAAAACCCTAAACCTTATACCCGAAGCCCCCCTATTCGGGGCACTGAAGACGGGACGACGTGTACAGAACAGCTAAACCCTAAACCCTAAGCCCGAAGCCGGAAGCCCCAAACCCCAAGCCGTAAACCCTAAACCCTAAACCCTAAACCCTAAGCCCTAAGCCCTAAACCCTAAACCCTAAACCCTAAACCCTAAACCCTAAACCCTAAACCCGGCAGCGCTTGAGGTCCCTGTCGAAGACCCCTCGGGAGCAGGCGATCGAAGCCATGGAGCAGGAAAGGCAGATGAAGGACGCCCTGGAAAGGGGTTTAGGGTTTAGGGTTTAGGGTTTAGGGTTTAGGGTTTGGGGTTTGGGGTTTGGGGTTTAGGGCTCAGGGCTGGAAAGAAGCAACATTTGCGAGTTCTTTCGGTTTTCCAGAGTTATCCCAACTGAGATTGCCATGGGAGCGTGAACAAGTGCAGATCCCCCTATTGTTTCACAGCGTCTCCTCTCTCAAACCTAAGCCCTAAACCCTGAACCCTAAACCCTAAACCCTGAACCCTAAACCCTAAACCCTAAACCCTGAACCCTAAACCCAAACCTAAATCTTGTTCGGAGTCCCGCACGTGAACTCAATGTCTCTGCTTGGAGGGTTCATGGGTACTCATAAGTAGGCTTTGCTAAGTAGGGTAACTATGGTTATAACCGTATTGAGGGGACTTAGAACCCTACTTATGACTACTCACCTTCAAGTGGCTGTTACCAGCGAAAATGTCCCAGATGTTCTTCAAGCCGTGCACGCCGCACAGGCCCCCCAGAAACAAGAAGCCCCAACGCCTCGCATGTCTGGGTTTAGGGTTAAGGGTTTAGGGTTTGAGGGTCTAGGCTGTCAGGGTTTAGGGTTTCAGGGTTTAGGGTTTCAGGGCTTCAGGGTTCAAGGAGACCCCTAAACCCCAGGTTATTTGGTACGCGTGGGCTCCGGTTGTAGACATGTCCCTCAGCCCCCAAAACCCTTCAACCCCAAAGCCCCAAAACCCCAAACCCTAAACCCCAAACCCTCAACCCTCAACCCCAAACCCTAAACCCTAAACAATTAATCCTAAACCCTAAACCCTAAACCCTAAACCCTAAACCCTAAACCCCCCTAGAACCCCTAACACACACCGAAAAGGAGAACCCCAACGGCCCGTGGCCGGCCTGGCTTCGAAGTCCCATGAGCCCGCAGCCACAAGCATAAGACACCGCGGCTCGGGAGAAGATTCGGGGCTCTTGCGGTTTTAGGTTTTAGGATTTAGGGTTTGGGGTTTAGGTTTGAGGTTTTAGGTTTTAGGTTTTAGGCTTTAGGTTTTAGGTTTGAGGTTTGAGGTTTGAGGTTTTAGGGTTTAGGGTTTTTAGAGGCCCCCCTGGCCCGCCCTTTTTGGTCGAAGAGCAGGCCTCAACCAAACACGAGTTTTCTCATTGGCATGTGCAGTGTCTTCCCTTGTTTGACCGAATGAGAAGAAGATTCTGGGGCAATTGCTTAGTAAAGGGGGTGTTAGGTTCGAAGTTCTTGGGAATCGATGATTTGAAGCCCTGCCCTCCTTCATTAACCCAAAACCTAACCCCCGACCCTAGCAACAACCCCTCAACCCCTTAACTCCTAAGCCCCTACCCTAAGCCCCACCCTAAACCCTAAGCCCTTAAACCTTAAATCCTAAACCCTAAGCCCCTAAACCCCTAAACCCTAAACTCCTAAACCCCTAAACCCCTAATTCCTAAACCCCTCAACCCTAAATCCCTAAACCCTACCCCTAAATCCTGAAACCTAATCCCTAAACCCCTAAGCCCCTAAACCTCTCAACCCCTAAACCCTAAATCCTAAACCCTAAACCCCTAAAGCCCTAAACTCCTAAACCCCTAAACCCCTTAACCCCTTAAACCCAATACCCTAAACCCCTAAACCCTAAACCCCTAACCCCTAAACCGCCCTGGACATCCTACACACTGAGCCGGGCTCTCGTTTTCTCGGAGCCGCGTTGCAGCGATGAGTGGCGGCTCCCCCACTGGGATGAAGGCTTTGCCAGGGCTTAGGGTTTAGGGTTTAGGGTTTAGGGTTTACTTCTTTGCTTTCTCGGACTCCGGGTTCCCTATATTCGGTAAGTAGCCACCAAAAAAAGTGCGTGCCTTTTTCCTTGGGTCACTGAAAGGCTGGGTACTTGAGTGTCTTGTAAGTGCTCGTTTTGTGGGGCCAGGGCTCCTGGCCACTGATAGGGTTTATAGGGTTGAATTCGAGGGTTTAGGGCTGTTAAAGGGCTGCTGGGGGGCATCTATTGGGGGTTTATGGAGGGTTTAGAGGGTCGATAGGGTTGAGGTGGCATGGACCTTTAGGTATCATGTGAGGTTTTGTCCTTCTTTCACTCTTACATAGACCCTAGAGGTCCAACGTACATAGGGTTGAGAGGGCTTAGGTCTAGGGCTTTCTTACAGGGCATGTAGAGAGGAGTTTCTTGGGTTTACAAGGTCCAGAAAGTTTCGGGGCTTTGTTAAAGGGGGTTTAAAGGGGTCGGGGGGGGGGGGGGGCTTGTGGTCTATAGATGGCGTAGGGCTTGCAGGGTTTAGGGCATCGTAGGGAAACGCACAGCTTCCCTAAGCCCAAAACCCTCAGCTTCCCCCTAAGCCCCAAACCTTTCTATTTCCACCTAATCTTCCCCGAGCAAAAAAGCTTAATCTCTAAGGGAAGTTGCAAGGTGCTAGAGGATGGTTTTTGACCTTAAAGGGTTCTGAAGCATGTGCCCCCTGGCGTTTGTTGGGGTATATAAGGGTTTCCCAATGAAGGGCCCATACTCAGGGACCACGTCGCCTACCCGGATCTCACCTTCACGAGCTTCATCCCGGAACAACCCCACAACTCTCGGGGCATTCAGTGCCATGGGCGTCTGCACACCTCCCTCCCGAAAGGAACACGAAGATGGAAGATACGTTAGGGATTTAGGGGTTCTAGGGCTCAGGCAGGAGTTCTTAGGGTGTATGAGTGGAAGTCGTTGGGTTTAGGGTGTCTAGGACATCGGCTTTTCAAGTCACATCACAGGGAGGTTTGCGCGACTTGCCATTCGCTCCGACTGGAGCACAATCTGCGGATCGATGCCAAAAGACTCTTTGCCTGGGGATTCGGGGCCTAGCGTTTGGCTTTAAGCACCTTAACGGTTTAGGGTTTAGGGTTTAGGGTCTAGGGTTTAGGGTCTAGGGGGAAGAATGCTAGACTGCTAGACAACAAAGATTTTGAGGCACGTAGCCTAGGAAGGCGCTGTGGGATGCGATAGTCTCTTGCTGGGTTGAGGAAGATTTGCTTCAAGAATTCTTTCGTGGCACGCCCACAGCCTACCTAGAGCAGTGATGACCTATGTAGCTACCCCCTTTTTAAACAATTTGAAACGCCAAACTCCCAAACTGAAATGGATATTCCCTTATGTTAAGTATGGACCCCAATATGTGGGCTGCCGCCTTTTGGGTGTTACATATATGTATACATACATACACACACACATACACACATACACACATACATACATACATATACATACATATACATACGTACCTACATACGTATATCGGTATATAGCGACTTTAGGGACCCCCCGCGCCCCCCCCCCCCACCCCCCTCACCCCAAATACCTTAAACCTCAGTCGCTCAATGTCAAGGTGCAAAGTGCCCAGGGAAAGAGTGGCACGCCCAAACCCTCAGCCCTAGACCTTACTCACCAAGCCCTAAACCCCAAATCTTAATTCCTAAACCCCCCAACCCTCGACCCTAAACCTTCACCACTAAACACCCAGTCTGGGGTTTGTGGTTTAGGGAGTTTCTTTGCCAGTCTTTCCCAGGAGCTGTAGCCGTCTCAGCTCAGATATCAGGCCGGGGGGTCCGCTGGCAGCAGGTGCGCAGGCCCTAAAGGTTAAGAAAGGGGTCGGAAGAATTACTAATCGTATTCCCTTAGGGTCCCTTTGTAAGCATACTACAATACCTCCCAACAGCCTACTTGTTAAGGCCCCTATGGGGGATAGAAGGTATAACCCTAAACCCTAAACCCTAAACCCTAACACCCTAAACCCTAAAACCTATGTTTAGGTAGGGGGATAGAAGGTATCGTGTTCCGTGCCTGTTTTGGGATGAACGCCCTGAGCGACGACTCGACATCTCTGTGCTCCACTTGCACCCTAAACCCTAAACCCTAAACCCTAAACCATAAACCCTAAACCCGAAACCCTAAACCCTAAACGCTAAACCCTAAACCCCAAACCCTAAACCCTAAACCCTAAACCCTAAACCCTAAACCGTAGCAGGCAACGCCTGGCGCCCTGCTGAAGTCTGCCCCCCGTCATGGGAGACAATCGAAGGCCCGACTTTGGCTCCCTTGCGTTTTCGGGTTTAGGGTTTTTGGGTTTTGGGGTAGGGTTTGGGGTTTGGGGTTTGGGGTTTGGGGTTTGGGGTTTGGGGTTTGGGGTTTGGGGTTTGGGGTTTGGGGTTTGGGGTTTGGGGTTTAGGGGTCAGGTTTGAGTTTAGGGTTGAGGGTTTCTGGTTTGGGTTCAGGGTAGCGGGTAGGACCAGTCTCAAGAAGACATCATGGTTTAGGGTTTAGGGGGACTGAATACCCCCCCCCCAAAAAAAAAAAACACAATAGATAAATAAATAAAAACAATCCGAAATCGACTGTCAATGCTCACGTCGACACCCGTTCGGCCAGGAACAATGATGCTGGTGCTCCGGACAAGACCACTGAGGCCTTCAGGGTTTAGGGTTTAGGAATTCGGGTTTCGGGTCTTTGGGTTTAGGGTTTAGGGTTTAGGGTTTAGGGTTTAGGGTTTAGGGTTTAGGGTTTAGGGGCCTCCGCTTGAGCGGCTTTTGCTCGCCGACACTGGTGTGAGAATCTTCCTGGAACCCTGGGCCCTAAGCGCCATAAAACCCTAAACCCCAAGCCCTAAACCCTAAACCCCAAACCCTAAACCCCAAACCCTAAACCCTGAACCCCAAGCCCTAAACACTAAACGCTACACCCTAAACCCTAAAACCCAAAACCCCAAAGTGCCAGCGCCTTCGCAGGTCAGGGAGAAGGTGGACCAGCTCAAGGGTATCATGCAGGAGCCCCTCAACCCTCAACCCTCAACCCTCAACCCTCAACCCTCAACCCTCAACCCTCAACCCTCAACCCTCAACCCTAAACCCTAAACCCTAAACCCTAAACCCTAAACCCTAAACCCTAAGCCCTGACAGCACAGGCCCCCCCCCCCCCCCCCCCGCCCGCCAACAAGGAGCCGGGAAGTTGCAGGGGCCCATGATCCCCATGTGAAGGTTTTTCGTTGTTTTGTTGTCCTTCTTGGTTGTTTTATTGGCTTCTTGAGGACCATTCTTACCCCAGAAGTCTCAAGACCCTGAAGCTCTAAAGCGCCTAAAGTTAGGTGGTTTAGGGTTTAGATTTTGGGGTTTAGCCCAAAAAGCCCTTCAAGCTTAAAACTTAAAGCCCTTTTGGGCCATGTAGGCACGGGCGCCGCTAGAATCATCGCCGCACTTGTGTGGACTTGCAGGGAAAACCCGAACCTTCAACTCATGAGCCTCAACGTCGGACGATGTCAAGCCTACGTATCTTTTCTGCACCTTGAAGTCCCAGAACCCTGAAGCACAGAACCCTTCCCCCGTATAATATTTTAATTGTAAGGGCCCTTTCATGCTGTGCTAAAAGCCCCTCCAGAAGACATTACATGAGAATGGGGCTGAAGTGAAGAAAAAGTGCACATTCTTTGCCTTTTTCGTCACTCACTATCGTCACGCCGTGTAACCAGTTCATGCCAAGCCCTTTTCCAGGATAATGTAAAGAAGATCCTGGAGACCCACGTGACGCTGGAGTCATTGGAGCAGAAGCCTCGGGCCTTCTTAAAGGGGATTGATGGGGTTTAAGGTTTCGGGGTGGAGCATTGGTCAGCTGAATGCCGTTGTATGCAGACATCCCCGCACCACGAGACCACCCGGACACCACTCAACACAAAACCAACCAGGGCCAGTCGAACCCAAGCCGAGCAAGGCATGTTCAGAACTGTATTCAAGTAGCTTTGCCGGGGGGTCAAACTTAAGGTTGTCATGGAGAGAAAGTCACAGCTTAGGGGTTGTTAGGGTCCAGGGGGAGATGTGACCTGGGCCTTTTCGCTAAAGCCCTAAACCCTAAACCCTAAACCCTAAACCCTAAACCCTAAACCCTAAACCCTACACCCTATTCCGAAAACTTAGAGGCATGGCTCTGAATTGGGGCATTTGGGTTCGGGGCTTAGGGTTGCAGCACGGAGAGTTGAGGGTTTAGAGTTAGGGTGTAGGGTTTTGCGTTCAGGGTTTCGGGTGGCAGTCTGGTCTACAGTCGGGGCTTCAACTAGATTGGCTTTCAGAGAGTTCCGGATGGGAACCTGCAAGGTTTAGCATTGCCCAAAACCCTAAATCCTAAACTCTAAATCCTAAACCCTAAATCCGAACCCCCTTTATATTTGAGACGTGGCCCTGGGTTTGGAAGAAATCCCCAGCGACAGCACGGTGTGGCGTTTAGGGTTTAGGATTTCAGCAAGCAGAACAACCTTAAGCGCTATGGCTTGCTGCATCTGGAGCCCTCTACCGCTGAACCCCTAAACCCAAATTATACCCCCAAAGCCCTAACCCCTGAATCCTAAACCCTAAACCCTGAACCTTAAGCCCTAAAGCCTAAACCCTATTCACCCTAAACCCCTGGACCCTAAACCCTAGACACCTTCAACCCCTAAAGCCTCAACCCACACCTTACGCCCCTAAACCCTAAACCCTAGACACCCTAAAAAGCCCTAAAAAAACCCTAAACTCTTGTAGTCTCAAGGAACTCGAGCTCCTCTATGAGCTCACAGGCATCCGAAGGGTTTAGGGTTTAGGGTTTGGGGTTCAGGGTTCAGGGTTCAGGGTTTAGGGTTTAGGGTTTAGGGTTTGGGGTTCAGGGTTCAGGGTTTAGGGTTTAGGGTTCAGGGTTTAGGGTTTAGGGTTTGGGGTTGGGGGTTTGGGGTTTAGGGTTTAGGGTTGGGGGTTTGGGGTTTAGGGTTTCGGGCTTGGGGTTTAGGGTTTAGGGGTTTAAGGTTTGGGGTTGATGGCTTTCAGGGCCTCTGCAACAGCCTTCTTTGGGATCCTTGAAAGTGTTGTTCTTTTAAGCGTGTGTTCGGTCCCTAAACCCTCGACCCTACAAACATAAACCCCAAACCCTGAACCCTGCGGGTGTATGGGGTTTAGGGTACAGGGCTCAGGGTTCCAGGGTTTGAGGTGGCTGAGGATGGCCTAAGGGTGTCTAAAGGTGTACGTCGAGGGATATTTGCCGGTTCGCGTTTGAGGCTTTTAGGGTTGGGGAGCTGGGTCAACCTTGGACCCTTAAAACTTCTCATCTGCTGTAGGCCCCTACCCCAAGCCCTTAATTAACCCTAAACCCAAAACCATGAGCCCTGAACCCTAAACACTAACCCTAAACCCTAAACCCTAAACCCTAAACCCTAAACCCTACACCCTACACCCTACACCCTACACCCTACACCCTGAACCCTGAACCCTGAACCCTGAACCCTAAACCCTAAACCCTACAAGCGACCCTCAACCCTAAGCCCTAAGCCCTAAGCCCTAAACCCTAAACCCTAAACCCTAAACCCTACACCCTACACCCTACACCCTGAACCCTGAACCCTGAACCCTGAACCCTGAACCCTAAACCCTAAACCCAGGCCAACAAGTTCTTGAAGCAGAGCGTGGATCTGCGACGCCAGGTCGGGAGGGAGCCTCTGATCTTGCGAACCCTTTGATGACGGGAATCCCATACTTCCAAGCAGGGTTTAGGGTTTGGGGTTGGGGTTTAGGGTTTAGGGTTTAGGGCTTAGGGCTTAGGGCTTAGGGCTTAGGGTTTAGGGTTTAGGGTTTAGGGTTTAGGGTTTAGGGTTTTGGTGTAGGGTTTAGGGTTCAGGGTTTAGGGTTCTTAGTAGCTGAGTGAGCACACCTTACACTTTTTGGGATACTGTAATCCCACTTTTTTTGAGGGGCTTATATGAACTCAGCACCTAAGGCTTCGGGTTTAGGGTTTAGGGTTTTGGGCTGGGCGAGAGGTGTTGGGTTTTGGTTTGAGGCATGCAACCCCCGAAGCCCTAAACTCCTGGCAACAACCCTAAACCCTAAACCCTAAACCCTAAACCCTAAACACCTGTTGATGGACTTTTGCTCGCAGATCCAGTGCCGGAACCTCAAGATCAAAGCCATTTGCGGAGCTGCCGACATGCTTTACGGCTCAGGGTTTAGGGTTTAGGGTTTAGGGTTTAGGGTTGAGGGTTGAGGGTTGAGGGTTGAGGGTTGAGGGTTGAGGGTTGAGGGTTGAGGGTTGAGGGTTGAGGGTTGAGGGTTGAGGCTGCGGGCTTAGAGGGTTGAGGGGGTTGAAGCAGGGTTTGGTTTACTTAGAGGGTTTCGAGCGCAGAGGTTGTTCCAATTCAGTGTCTTTTGTTTGTTTTTTGGGGGGTGGTCCTATAGTGTTACGTCATTTGTCCCTATGCCAATAAGAAGACGCGCGCTAAATCCTCTGAACTCCACGAGCACACCCCCAAGCCCTCCTGTCCCGTAAATTTGCAGAGCCTATAAACCCTATAAACCCCATATAACCTGCAAGCCCTAGAAACCCTGTAGTCCCTAAACACCCCAAACCCCAGACCCGATAAACCATACGAACCCCAACAAGACCCTTGACTCTGCTTGACGTCGAACCCAAGCCAGGCACCTGCGTTGCGGCTCTAATTCTGTACATCGCCATGCGCGGGCCCAAGAGCGTTACACTAGTGTTTAGGGTTTCGGGGTTGTAGGGCTTAACAGGTTGGGTTGAGGATCACGGGTTTCGGGAGGGGGAGGGGGCAGCCTGCTCGTAGCTTACTGGTTCCGCGTCTTTTGCGGGTTCGGGTCTCCAAGTTCAGGATTTCTAGGTCGCGAGGTATCTGGGCTTCAGGGCTTCAAGGACTTACCAGGTCGGGTTTTGAGTAGGGAATGAAAGGCCTAGCTACCTTCTATCCAGCCTCCACTATCACTCATGTACCCTTACCTAGCAACAGAGGTGCAGACGTGCGCATGATTCAACAAGCCATATCGGACCACTGAAGCGGCAAGGGTTACCGGGATCACTCAGTCAGGCGTGATGACTCGTTGCGTTGCTTTGTGTCTGGGGCGTACGGGTGTCCTGTTTAGGGGAGAGCGAGAAGCCCGCAACAGCCACCAGGACCAAGGAAAGCAAAATCCACCCAAAACAACCCAAACCCAAATTGTATTTTTCATATTTTCTATGCGATTATATGTGAATGTATATCTATACATGTATATATGCATTTTTCTATTTGTTCATTTGTTTGTCTATTTATGTATTTATTCATTCATTTATCTGCCAGACATTGTTTCAAATGTCATTATCTTTTTATATCTTGTTTTTTTTTATTGATATTTGCATGCTCTACCATATATATATATATATGATTGCATACATATATATATATATGAGGTCATATATATATATATATGTATCTGTGTATATCTAATGTAAGTTACCTGAATCCTTAACCCTTGACTGGGCTCAGCCCCCAATGTCGCTGCACGCCGAGGCCCTTCATCAGTTGAGAGGAGGTGGCCTTGAAAAATCTGTAGATTCCTAAACCCTAAACCCTTAACCCTAAACCCTAAGCCCTAAGCACTAAACCCCTTAAATCCTCACCGGTCCTCCCAGAAGTACTACAGGGGCATGAATTAGGGTTTTGTGGGGGTTGTTGTTGTATAATTACATAGGGACCATACTCGATTCCGAGACAGTAGTTCGTCCGACCCCTGTAGGACCCTTAGTCTGTTTTATTTTGGGGGCAGTGCCTTATTAACAGCTGAAGAGTAAGAGAAAGGCTATCGGTATTATTCAGGAGTTACTGAACCCTAAACCCTAAGCCCTTCGAGTGCCTTTCCTTCTTTGTGGGGCAAAAGCCCGGGGGACCCCAGGAGGGGTCCCAGACGCGGTATACAGCGGTGTAGAGTGTTCAGGATTTAGGGTTCGGGTGTATATTGTTTAGGGTTTAGGGTGTTAGGGTTTCGGGTTTAGGGTTTTAGGGTTCAGGGTTTAGGGTGGTGGCATGGGCAAGCAAGCAAGCCCAGATGTCAGAGGACGTGGCTGGAGCGCTGCAGAGTTGTACATCTTGGTGGGTCGGAGAGCGGAGACCTGTTGGCAGAGAAGCCCTCTAAACTCATGTAGTTTCCAAACCCTAAACCCTAAACCCTAAACCCTAAACCCTAAACCCTAAACCCTAAACCCTAAACCTTAAAACCCTAAACCCTGAACCCTTAACCCTAAACCCTAAACCCAGCAGGCCCGCTCTGGATCGACCCCCCGTTCCCTATAGGACTAATTCAGTGAGGACTTCTCGGAAGAAGCGCAGTTCAAAGAACCGCCTCTCGGGAAGTGTCAGAGGAAGGAAGGCTTGCATCCTGTTTGTCCCTAAACCCTAAACTCTAAACCCTAAACCCTAAACCCTAAGCCCCAAATCCTAAACCCTACACCCTAAACCCTATAAACCCCTAAACCCTACAACCCGGAAAAGAGTGCTGAGCCGTGTCAAGCCATGTGCCTTGGCTTTTCAAAAGGCCCACAGAACCCACACGACATAGGGTTTAGGGTTTAGGGTTTAGGGTTTAGGGTTTAGGGTTTAGGGTTTAGGGTTTAGGGTTTAGGGTTTAGGGTTTAGGGCTTCGGTTAGGGGTTTTAGGCGTTCTATCCCTACTTCCCAAAACGGGCCGTCAGTCCATGAACTGACTCCGTAGCCTTGCATCCACCATTCGACTGCAATCAGGAAACCAACAAAAAGCACCTAAACCCTAAACCCTAAACCCTAAACTATACCCTGAACGAAGACTAAGCTCGAGCCCTGCATCCACTAACACCGTGATCCCCGCAAGCAAAGAACTCCGAAAATGGCCTCGCCTGGATTTCCTCGGATGGTTTTTTTCAGTGCCGTGCCCGCCTCTCCAGAAATGTCGTGCCTTGCAAGTAGGGCTTAGGGTTCACAATAGGGTTTAGGATGTCGGGATCAAAGTAGGGCTTCAGGCTTGGGGCTTAGGATTCAGGGTTTAGGGTTTAGGGATACAGTGAAGAAGCATGAGCATGTGTTACCGGGTTTGGAGTTGCCTATATGGTGTGGAAGCATTGCTTGAATTGCTGGGTGGGCCAGAGCGCTTTGCTGCGCATCCAGAAGCCAAAGGAAGGCTGTTATGGGTCCGTAAATCTCTCCTGTGGCCCAAAAAGCCCCCCGATTTCACCCCGATTTCAGCCCCATTCTGATCACCAACTCATACACCCCCTGCATTCTTTTCTAAGCCAAGACATGAGGATGCTCCAGAGGTCTCCTACAGGCGCTCCATTCAGGGTATAGGGTTCAGGGTTTAGGGTTTAGGGTCTATAAGGTTTAGGGGTAGGGTTTAGGGTTTAGGGTTTAGGGTTTAGGGTTTAGGGTTTAGGGTTTAGGGTTTAGGGTTTAGGGTTTAGGGTTTAGGGTTTAGGGTTTAGGGTTTAGGGTTTAGGGTTTAGGGTTTAGGGTTTATCAGAGCTCCTCGGTTCGAGGACCCTTTCTGCTCGCACTGGAGCGACGGCACAAGATCTGCCTCGCGGCGCGCAGTGAGCAGGGGAGCAGTACCCTGCAAACCCTAAACCCTAAGCCCTAAATCCTCATCCTAAACCCTAAACCCCAAACCCTAAACCCTAAACCCACCGCTTTGGGGGGCTAACTTAGGGATCATGGCACACGCTTGCAAGAATGAGCCCTCCCCCCGAGGGGTGTCATATAGGAAGCCCTGCAGGGTCTGCACCAGGAAGCCACGAAGTGGGCGAGAGGCACCCTAAACCCGAAACCCGAAACCCTAAACCCTAAACCCTAAACCCTGCGGTTCACTGCGGCCTGCTTGTAGCAGTTGCTCTGCCCGAGAGCCTCGTGGAGATGGCTCTGCCGCAGAGCCAGCCACAACTGGTCCATCGGCCTATTTAGGGGCTTACGATAATGAGGGTTCAGGGTTTAAGGTTTAGGGTTTAGTGTTTATAAGGGACCCCCAATATGGACCCCCCAAATAGTACGATCCCCTTATAGTAAGGCCCCCAAAAAAGGTACAGTACCTCAATTCTCGTAAGCCCCCCTCATTTCCAGCGACAAACAAGATCTTGACCCTGTGAAGAAAAGAAGGCGACCAGCGAAAGTCGATGTCCGAGTTGGCCTAGCCCTGCAGCAACGTCCAGCTTGATCTCCAATCTATGCATGTGCACATAGCTCCTACCTATCTAGCCTGGTAGACTTCTGATGTGGTGGGATACATATATACATGCGCATATCTGTATATATTTATATATATATATGTGTATGTACGTACATATAAATATTTGTGTACGTCTGTATGTGTTTGTATATATATATACATATATAGATAGATAGATAGATAGATAGATAGATAGATAGATAGATATCTCTTTCAAAGTTTCTCCGCAGCAATGTGTGTATGGATTGCTCACCCAGTCGCATGCCAAGTGGCTCTGGACGCATCAGCAGCCATTTTAAACTACTCAGCAGCCAGTTTTCAGCTACGCAGGCGAAGCACAACACCCTAACCCGCAAGCCCTGAGCCCTCAACACTGCAAGCGTAAATCTAAACCCTAAACCCCGAATGAACCCTAAACCCTAAACCCTATAAACCCTAAACCATAAACCCTAAACCCTAAACCCTAAACCCTAAACCCTAACTGTTAGATGAACTGAAATTGTGCCTTAGATGCCCCGCGGAGCAAAGGTGCGAAATCCGGAGGCTGCAGATTCAAGATGCAGCAGAGTGGCACACTGTGTCCTGAGAAGGGCGCTGCTGCCCCCTAAACCCTAAACCCGAAACCCGAAACTCGAAACCCCAACCCTTAAACCCTAAACCCCAAACCCCAAACCCTAAAACCCTAAACCCCAAACCCCAAACCCCAAACCCTTAAACCCTAAACCCCAAACCCCAAACCCCAAACCCGAAACCCTGCAGTTTAGGGATCATCCTCGAATTCCCCGACAGGGATGAGCTGCACCCTGGCGTGGAGACCTGGCTGTGCGCTTCTAGAGCCGCCGGAGCCTCAGAAAGCTGTGCTTGGAGGTGCATGGGTGCTGATTAGTAGGTTCTGGGTTTGGGGTTTAGGGTTTCGGGTTTAGGATTTCGGGTTTAGGGTCCAGAGGGTCACTTTTCTAGCATTCATAGTCATTAGGAGGTTCCAGGCTTAGAAAAAACCCGCCCGCCCAAAGAATCCCATATTATTAAGAAAATAAACGGTTTTCATCCTACCGAGCCCCCCGACGGGTCAGATTGACCGAAAAGTCACCAACACTGGTCCAGAAGTCACGAACATTGGGGTCAGATTGGCCGAAAAGTCACGAACAATGGGGGACAATTGACCGAAAAGTCACCAAGAATGGGGTCAGATTGGCCGGGAAGTCACGAACATCGGGGTCGGATTGGCCGAAAAGTCAAGAACATTGGGGTCAGATTGGCCGAAAAGTCACGAACATTGCGGAGCAAATAAACCAACAAAACTATATATATATATATATGATAGAGAGGGTTTAGGGTTTCAGTGGACGCTTTTTAAGTAGGGTTTTAAGTAGGGTAGCTATGGTTATTGCCTTATTTAGGGGACTTCTTACCTTGTACGTATAGGTACCCATGAGCCTTCAAGGGGGGGGGGGGGGGGGGACGTGAAGCTGAACCCGAAACCCTAAACCCTAAACAATAAACCCTAAACCCGAAACCCGAAACCCTAAACCCTAAACCCTAAACCCTAAACCCTATAGAGATGTGGCGAGCACCTCGTCGGATCGCTGTAACATTTGCAGCCAGAGGCTACTTCAGACCACCCTGCGCCCAATATAGGTATTTCCCAAAATTGGCGTACCACTTTTATACTCCAAATAGAAGAGAGTCCCCTTAAAGGGACCCCAAACGGGTACCCCTATTTTCGGAAACCCCCCCATAGGAGTCGGAATGACTACTAAGAGGAACCCTTATGGTCCCTATATAAGTGTTCTTTGTGAGAGCCCCTCCAACACCCTATTCTAATTCTCAAGGCCCCTATCGTGCTCGTATGTCACTCCGTCGCTTCACTTCCTTGGTAGCCCAGTGGTGCCCTTTTTTCCCACCCGTTTTTTTGGTTCTGGGTTTAGGGTTTAGAGATTAGGGTTTGGGTTCAGGGTTTAGGGTTGACAACCAACCCAACAAAGGATGCTCTTAACCAAAATATGGTTGCTGGGCTACCAAGTTTCTAAGGTCCCGAGAAGCTCTCCCCTTCCAGCGAAGCCGCATTCCATGGAGCGGCCATGATCTGGAGGCCGCCACAGAAAAATGCCGCACCTTGACAAGCCAACATCCCCCTAAACCATAGAACCTAAACCCTAAACCCTAAAACCCTAAACCCTAAACCCTAAACCCTAAACCCTAAATCTTTCATCATGTGTCGCCTGGCCCAGTACGGCTTTCGAGAAGCTGAATGCGGCGGCATGCAAAGGCAACGTGGCAGAGGCCAGACCCTGGTTGGTTTCTCTACACCCTGGTAGCTCAGTGGTACGGTTTAGAGTTTAGGGTTTGGGGTTTGGGGTTTAGGGTTTAGGGTTTGGGGTTTGGGGTTTAGGGTTTAGGGTTTCTCTTCCCTTTTTGTTGGTTCAGGGTTCCCTTCTAAAGTAGCCAACTTGGGATGTTCCCCCTTATACTATCAGTCCTTAATGGGGGTCATATTACCCCCTATTCTCATCCCTATCCAGGACTGTTAGTCTGAGGGGAACATCCCAATAGCCAACCCCAAAAAGGGTGCCCTTACTAGAATCTGGTGCCAATGGGCTACCAAGACACGGCATCCTACCACATTTGAAAGGTTAGCCTTGCTTGGGCCAGGGTACTTAGCAACTAGGCAACCCTAAATCCTAAACGGCAAACCCTAAACCCCTAAACCCTAAACCCCTAAACCCTAAGGCCCTAAACCCTCTATTCCGAACAGCCCCCAGCCCTGGCGTGTTGCAGGCATCGGCCATTTTCGAGCACTTTTGGGCAGGTCCACTGCAGCCGCGTGCGACCATGGTCTGCAACACCGTTCTCAAGGCAGTTGAGGGTTTGGGGTTCAGGGGTTTAGGGGTCTAATGTTTAGGGTTTGGGGTTTAGGGTCTAGGGCTTTTGGGTTTAGGGTTTCGGGTTTAAGGCAGGCAGACCTTCAGTCCCTGTCGATTATGTTTGAACCCGTAACAAGCGGAGCAGGAAGGCCCATGATTCAGGAATTCTAATTAAGAACAACGCCGGCAAGAGCTGGGGGGCCACAAAACCAGCCCAGGAAGAACCCTCACGACTTTAGGGTTTAGTGTTTAGGGGTTAGGGTTTAGGGTTTAGGGTTGGGGGGAAAAGGGAAGAGGGGGACTGGCCCGTCGGTTCTGCGATTACAAGTCCGGAGCCTTCCCGGGCTTTCCAGGCTGCGTAAGGGCCCTGCGCTTTCCTGAACATTAAACCCCCAAACCCCTAAACCCCTAAACCCCTAAACGCCCCTACACCCCTGAACCCCGAACCCCTAAACCCTAAACCCTAAACCCCTAAACCCCTAACCCCTTAAACCCCTAAACCCACCCCAAACCCCAAACCCCTAAACCCGTAGCCTTTCCGCGCAGGCCTACGCCAACGCTGGAGACTTCCCGGGTGCCCACCGCTGGGTTGAGGATCGGGGGCCGAAACAAAATTGTGCAGGCGCTACCTCCCTAAACCCTAAACCCTAAATCCTAAACCCTAAACCCTAAACCCCCCAAATTCCCCAAAGCCCCCAAAAGGCCGAGATAAAGCCCAGAAGCCCTAAACCGACCAACCCCCAAAAACAACGAAACCTGCCACCACAGGAGATGCAGCAGCAACGTGTGCGACTGAACACCAAAACCTTCGGAAAGCTCATCGAGTCTGCCGCCAAGGCTGGCCAGGCCGCGGCCGGTCATGAGGGGAATATAGAAAGCAGGGTACCGGTAGTTATTCTCCGGGTAGGCCCTTGTTTTTTTTTCATATTTCCCCTTATTGGGCCAAAGAGGACTATATTTAGGAATAGGGCTTTCAGAGCCATTCTAGCATTAGTTTCCCCTTATGGCCACTGTTGTTCTTGCTGCTGCTGCTGCTGCTGCTGCTGCTGCTGCTGCTGCTGCTGCTGCTGCTGCTGCTGCTGCTGCTGCTGCTCCTGCTCCTGCTCCTGCTCCTGCTCCTGCTCCTGCTGCTGCTGCTGCTGCTGCTGCTGCTGCTGCTGCTGCTGCTGCTGCTGCTGCTGGTGTTGCTGCTGCTGCTGCTGCTCCTCCTGCTCCTGCTGCTGCTGCTGCTGCTGCTGCTGCTGCTGCTGCTGCTGCTGCTGCTGCTGCTGCTGCCGCCGCCGCCGCCGCCGCTGCCGCTGCCGCTGCCGCTGCCGCCGCTGCTGCTGCTGCTGTTAAAGGCACCGTTGTTTTGCCATTTAATGATACCGTTACCACTGGCAGCATTCTTACTCTCACTCTTGCTCTACTCTGACGCTTATTCCTTCCTACTCTTCCCCAAAACTCTCAACCGGTAGCGTCCCCCAGCCTATTCGCAGGCCGAGCTGGCGCAACGATGGCTGTCGCAGTACACCGACTCCGCAGACCTTGTGCATTCAAACACCGCGACTTCGCTCAGTGGTTTGAGGGCTTGAGCCTGAATGCCGTTCGGATCGGCCACCCTAAACCCTATGAAGTCTAAACCCTGCACCCTAAACTCGAAACCGAAACCCTAACCCTACACCCTAAAACCTAATGCCAGCAGCCCTCAAAATACCCAGACCAAAATTTTTCTAATCCCCCCAGAAAGCCCTCTAAACACCAGGCCCGCCTGCACAACCGACGCACGTCAACCCTAAACCCGAGACCCTAGACCCTAAACCCTAATCCCTAATCCCTAAACCATAAACCCTAAACCCTAGACCCTAAACCCTAAACCCTAAACCCTAAACCCTAAACCCTAAACCCTAAACCCTAAACCCTAAACCCTAAACCCTAAACCCTAAACCCTAAACCCTAAACCCTAAACCCTAAACCCTAAACCCTAACCCTGAACCCTAAACCCTAAAAAGCCTAAGGTCCTCCACGCCTTCGCGCGAGCGGCGGCCTGTGAGAAGGCGGAGGCCTTTTTGGAACAGCTGCCTGAGGCCTGCGCTTGGCGCCGGCTTGGAGGTTCATGGTACTTACGAACTAGGCTGCAGGGTTTAGGGTTTAGGGTTAAGGGTTAGGGTTCAGGGTTTAGGGTTTAAGGTTATAACTGTTCCAACTGTATTTGTAACCATATTAGGGCACTTAAGGGGCTAAGAAGTGGGTTATAAGTACAGTTATAATTGGTTAAGAAGTACCATGAACCTTCAAGTGGAGCGAAGGGTTTCGTTTCAATTTGGGGGGCTTGGTGGGTGTGAGCACGTCCAAGCCCTAAACCCTAAACCCTAAACCCCAAACCCTAAAACCTGAGCCCTAAACCTAAACCCTAAACCTCAAACCCTAAGCCTCAACCTCCTTGGCACACCTCCCAGAAGTCTGGTGACATGGACTATTTTCTGGGGGGGGGGGGCTCACTCATTAGAATAGGGTTTCGGGGGGATAATACAGGATAAGTATAACGGACCAATGCTAGGGTTTAGGGTTTAGGGTTTAGGGTTTAGGGTTTAGGGTTTAGGGTTTAGGGTTTAGGGTTTAGGGTTTAGGGTTTGGGGTTAGAAATTCTTCCGACCCTTGTATTGGGCATGCAGGAGTCCGGCACGATGTGAACATTTCTCAAAATTATGGTCCCTTTTTAGGTGCCCTCAATATCAGGGTCCGCCCTTATAGTAAGGATCCTAGAAGGGACCCTGTTTTAGAGAAGTGACCATGTGTTGTTGTTGCTGCTTTCGTGTCCCGACACTCAGAAGAGCATCCAGCCCAGCGCGATCTCCTACAACACCGCCGCTTGTCGGGAGATAGGGTTTAGGTTTAGGGTTTAGGCTTAGGGGTTAGGGGTTAGGGTTTAGGGTTTAAGGTTTAGGGCTTAGGATTTAGGGCTTAGGGCTTAGGGCTAAGGGCGCATGCTTTCAGAGCAAAGGCGGTGACTATGTTGCTACTACGGGGGGGGGGGGGGGGGGGACGAACGTTTAGCCAGCAGCCTACAAAACCGTAATCCGGCGCACACCGGAGTGCGCCAGCCGACGAAGGCGCAAGCTCCCCAAAGCCCTAAACCCTAAACCCTAAACCCTAATGCTGAACCCTAAACCCTAATGCTAAACCCTAAGCCCTACTTACCCCTAAATCCTACTAAACCCGAATCCCTAAACCCTAAACGCTAATCCCTAAACCCTAAACCCTGAACCCTGTTTGGGTGGCTGTGCTGCCTAACCACTTCTCGAAACCTCTGTCGGGGAAGTCGACAAGGTGATCGCCTGCTACGCCGACAGGGGCATCATGGATCGGGCCGAGGCGTCATCCAAAGGAACGGTTTAGGGTTTAGGGTTTAGGGTTTAGGGTTTAGGGTTTAGGGTTTAGGGTTTAGGGTTTAGGGTTTAGGGTTTAGGGTTTAGCATCTCAAGTTCGAGCATTTACTAGGCCAGCAGTGTGTGTAGGCAACGGAAAAAAACCCACCCGCCCAAAAAATCCCATAACATTAAGAAAATAAAAAGTTTTTCGTAATTTCTAGTCCGACGCACCCATGCCGTAACGTCTCACCCCTTCCAAGCACATCGCCCCCCGATAACCAAGACCTGGAATCATGCATTTTCACTGTCACTCGTAACGTCTCACCCCTTCCAAGCACATCACCCCCCGATAAGCAAGACCTGGAATCATGCTTGGAAGGGGTGAGATGTTACGAGTGAAAGTGCATGATTCCAGGTCTTGCTCTTATCGGGGGGTGATGTGCTTGGATGATGTGCTTGGAAGGGGTGGGCCGTTACGAGTGGTCAACCGAGGTGGGGGGGGAGGGGGGGTGGGGGGGGGGGGGTTTGAGGCCCCGAAATTCACCGTTGCCGACTTTTGAGGCCCTTTTGAGGCCCCGAAATTCACCGTTGCCGACTTTTGAGGCCCCGAAATTCACCGTTGCCGACTTTTGACCCCGAAATTCACCGTTGCCGACTTTTGAGGCCCCCCGAAATTCACGGGGCCTCAAAAGTCGGCAACGGTGAATTTCGGGGGGGGCCTCAAAAGTCGGCAACGGTGAAATTCACCGTTGCCGACTTTTGGGGTGCCCGAATTCACCGTTGCCGACTTTTGAGGTGCCCGAAATTCACCGTTGCCGACTTTTGAGGTGCCCGAAATTCACCATTGCAGACTTTTGAAAGCGAAATTCACCGTTGCCGACTTTTGAATTAGGGTTTAAATTATCAAAGGATAGAGAGGGTTTAGGGTTTAGGGTTTAGGGTTTAGGGTTTAGGGTTTAGGGTTTAGGGTTTAGGGTGCAGGGGGCCTCATACCCCTGCCTGAGAATTTCCGGGTGTTAGGGCAGCTTCTAGGTGTGGTTGGGGGTGGCCTTCAGGAGATCGGGAAGCACTTGCCCTAAACCCTGAACCCTGAGCCCTAAACCCTGAACCCTAAACCCTAAACCCTAAACCCTAAACCCTAAACCCTAAACCCTAAACCCTAAACCCTGAACCCTGAACCCTAAACCCTAAACCCTAAACCCTGAACCCTGAACCCTGAACCCTGAACCCTGAACCCTGAACCTTAAATGTTTGGGACATGACTCGGACATGATCCCGAGATCTACATTAATTTGCCAGGGTATTCTGCATTCGTTCACCACCCTGTGGCAGCAACCCTTCCCACAAGTACAGTGTTTAGGGTTTAGGGTTTAGGGTTTAGGGTTTAGGGTTTAGCGTTTAGGGTTTAGGGTTTAGGGTTTAGGGTGGGCCCCCTTCATGCCTGCCCCCCACTCCTCTAGAGCTTCAGCAAGCCCTAAACCGTAAACCGTCAACCGTAAACCCTAAACCCTAAACCCTAAACCCTAAACCCTAAACCCTAAATCCCCTTCGGCCATGGTGTCAGGAGTGCCTGCAAACCATGAAGCGTTGCGGCGTTCCACCGACGGTTTCGTCCTACAACTCACTCATCCAGGGCTTCGCGAGGCCGCGGAGAGCGCGGGAAGTAGGGCGAGGATACACCCCAACCCTAAACCTTAAACCTTGAAAGGGAAAGTTTGCTTCACTTGGCGAGGTGTAGGGTTTAGGGTGTGTGCCTCGATCATCCAGAGGTTCAAATTTGAATTTGGCTCCCGGGGACAGTTGGACGGGGGAAAAATATGCACGACAACCCCAACCTTAAACCCTAACCCCTAAACCCTCATGCATCCGAAACCTTAAGCAAGCCCTTTAGGGGTTAAGGTTTAGGGTTTAGGGTTTAGGGGTTCAGGGGTTCAGGGGTTCAGGGTTTAGGGTTTAGGGATGTTTTTCATCCTGAAGCACCTGCCCTGGAGGGCCCAACTTGTCGCCGGAGCCGTGCGCACCCTGGCGCAGCTGGTGGAGGCGAGCTTCGTTTTCTGCCGGGTAAAGGGTTGCCCTAAACCCTAAACCCCAAACCCTAAACCCTTTCACCTTGAACCCTTGAACCCTTTCAACCCTGAACCTTACACCCGAAACCCGAAACCCTATAAAACTTGCACCTAAACCCTCAACCCTAAACCCTAAACCCTCAACCCTCAACCCTCAACCCTCAACCCTCAACCCTCAACCCTAAACCCTAAACCCTAAACCCTGAACCCTAAACCCTAAACCCTAAACCCTAGGGCGGCTTTGGGGAGCATCCGTAGACCGCTGCTCGGGAGGATGGGCTGGCAGCCGACGGGGTCACGGTGCAGGCCTTGGCCCCCTGGTTGCAGGAGGCAGAGTCAGCTTGATACCCGATACCCTACCGTAAGCCCTAAACCCCAAACCCCAAACCCTAAACCCTAAACCCTAAACCCTAAACCCTAAACCCTAAACCCTAAACCCTAAACCCTAAACCCTAAACTCTAAACCCTAAACCCTAAGCCAGCTCTAAAGTGCCTTCATGGTCCCTTTTTGGGACTCCCAAAGTTTAAGGGCCCATACTATGGTTGCAGTTTGAATCACTAGGTGAGTTCAAATCCTAAATCCTAAACCCTAAACCCTAAACCCTAAACCCTAAACCCCAAAACCTACGGGATGGCAGGAGGGACGGGCTCCCTGAAGCCCGCGGGGAAGCTAGGGTTTAGGGTTAGGGTTTAGGGTTTAGGGTTTAGGGTTTAATTAGGGTTTAGGGTTTAGGGTTTAGGGTTTAGGGTTTAGGGTTTAGGGTTTAGGGTTTAGGGTTTAGGGCTTCCCTTGAACACTGACTGGGGCAAACCGAGAACCCGAAATCCCCCCTCAAAGGCTTCAAGACCCCAAACACCACACTCCCGCTTCTCAAGGTCAGCGCCTTCACGCGAAGCGGCGACTGCGCCAGCGCACTGCATTGGCTCCGCGTCTTCGAGGAGCGGCCCAGCAGCATGCCAGGCATCGAGGTCTCGGGTTCCAGGTGTCCCAGATTTAGAGGCTTTTTAGGGCTTTCGGGTTTTTAGGGCTTTAGGGTTTTTTAGTTTTTTTCGGGTTTTTGGGGTTTAGGGTTTAGGGTTCACCCCCCGTTTACGCTCATGTGCGGGCTGAGTGCCTCTGCGCCGGTCGCAGGTGCGGACTTTCTCTGGGGATCAACGAGTACAACGTGCTGATGAACGGCTTGGCCAAGGAGAAAGTAGCCATGGTGCACCCCCCACACCCTAAACCCCAAGCCCCCAAGGCCCCCAAACCCCCAAACCCTACACCATATCCGGAGAGTAGGTGCCCAAAAACTCGCCAGGAAGGGCGGCTCGCAGAAGCCAGGCCCGGATTCACTTAAAGTTCCTGGGGTTTAGGGTTTAGGCTTTAGGATTTAGGGTTCAGGGTTTGGGGTCTCGGGGTCCAAGGGTAGTTTCATGGGCCCTGAATATGGAAGTATGGGCACTTTTGCTTTTATAGGGTCTGTAAGGAGTACAAAGAGGATTTTCTTGAACTAAGGGGATAAAAAGGGTACCCCCTATTTTGGGAAATCTACCGGTTCTTGGCAGGAATGAGAGAAATGGGTCCCTGTATACTTTGGGATCTTGCCCCTTATACTAACAGTCCTTAATCGGGGCTATGAAATACTATAATCCCTGTTAAGGACTAGTAGTATAGGGGGGGGAACATCTCAATGTATCCCTATATACGCCCTTCAACAGATTCAAAAGGCACCAAATTCCTTCACTCCCTACTTAGAGCCAGCAAAAAAAGGCTCCTCTGACACACCAACAGTCCATAGTATGCGTATTTCCACAGCAATAGAGTTGCCCTTTTGTGGCGATACAAAGTATATCTGGGCGATACAAAGTATATTGGGGGTGGGGGGGGGGGGGGCGCCTCATGTGTTGCAATTCCGATCTCAGCTGTCGAGCAACTAAGCTTTGCAATGTCTGTTGGGCATTCGGTTCCTTTTTAACCCAGAACCGAGCCCTCAATGGACAAGTTCTCTTTAGCCAAGAACCTTGTGGTAACTGCTACTACGTGGCCATAAACCCAAACCCTGTAAACCTGCAGCCCTACACCCGAATAGAAGGAGAGCAACAAAAGTTCAGGCTCTTAACTCTTCGTGTTTGGCCCAAACAGCATAAGCATAAGCCTAGTAATCCCTCGCGGCGAATCTCTTAACCCTAAACCCTAAACCCTAAACCCTAAATGCTGAACCCTGAACCCTACACCCTAAACCCTAAACCCTAACCCCCCCTTCTCACAAGAGGCAGCTGTTGCAAAGCTTGCGGAGTCGCGAGTTGCGACCTGACGTGGTGTCTCTCACGGCCCCTTTTTTGCATGGTGGCCTTCAGGGCTGTTTCCTAAATTTATAGGATTTAGGGCTAGGGTTTAGAGTTTAGGGTTTAGGGTTTAGGGCTTAGGGTTTCGGCTTTAGGGTTTAGGGTTTAGGCTTTCGGCTTTAGGCTTTAGGCTTTAGGGTTTATAGGGCCTGTATATAGTGTTGTTCAGGGTTTAGGGGTTTCGTATGGCTCTCTTTTGCAGTGTGGGGCTCTGTGGGGTTTTATGATGGGCTTCGGCCATGAGGGCTTGCTTACTTGCCAAAGGGTTTCGGGTTTAAAGTTTAGGGTTTAGGGTTTAGGGTTTAGGGACTATAGGGTTTAGGGTTTAGGGTTTCGGGTTTAGGGGCTATAGGGTTTAGGGGCTATAGGGTTTCAAGGTTCAGGATGCAAGGTCTCGGGTGGACTCCTTCCTGGAAGGTCAGGTGAGGCATCTGGAGCAGGCGCAGCCTAACAGAGGGGTCGGAATAGTTGCAAATATTATTTGCTTTATGTATATACTCATACTATAATCATAGCCTCCAGATCTGTTCTAATTATTCAGGCCCTAAACCCTAAACTAGGCCCCTACACTAAATCGCAAGCTTTCCCGGGCGGAGGGGAAGGGAAACTTTGAGCTGTCACGAATTCCCTATTGGCGAGGAATAGCCATCAGGAGCAGACTGACTGTTGCAAACCCTAAACCCTAAACCCTACACCCTAAACCCTAAACCCTAAACCCTAAACCCGAAACCCTAAACCCTAAACCCTAAACCCTAAACCCTAAACCCTAAACCCTAAACCCTAAACCCTAAACCCTAAACCCTAAACCCTAAACCCTATTCGGGCTTATTAGGGTGAAGCTCCTGCGCAGGCGGTGGCTGAAGCCTACAATCGCAACGGTGACACCGAAGGCGCTGTCGAGTACCTGGAGACAATGAAGGTGCATCGACCGAACCGAGGGCCTTGTAGGCCTTCAGGTTCTCGTTTGTTTAGGGTGTTAGGGTTTAGGGTTTAGGGTTTAGGGTTTAGGGTTTAGGGTTTAGGGTTTAGGGTTTAGGGTTTAGGGTTTAGGGTTTAGGGTTTAGGGTTTAGGGGTTTGGGGTTTGGGGTTTGGGGTTTGGGGTTTGGGGTTTAATTGAGGATTGAGGGTTTAGTGCATAAAGGGGCCCCAAGCCCTTAAGGACCCTCTACAAAAGGCCGAAGTGGAAGTCGACCGCGTCTTCTTCAAGACGGTCATGAACAGCTGCGCTTCCAGAGGCCCTGTTGAATATTAGGGTTTAGGGTTTAGGGTTTAGGGTTTAGGGTTAGGGTTTAGGGTTTAGGGTTTAGGGTTCAGGGTTTAGGGGGGCCGGAATAGTTGCGAATAGTATTCCCTCATGGTGCCTTTCTAGTTATCCGTAGTTATACTGGAATAACTCCCAAACACCCTATTCTAAATACTAAGGGCCCCTATGTTACCAAACGCCGAACAACACACCAGAAGAGAGGGATCTGCCCTGCATGCGGAATGGGCGCTTCTTCTGCGCAGTTTGCTTTCGTTGTTTTTGCCGCTGGGAGTGTCGAGCCCTGCAGTACCGCAGACTGAGCACAGCAGACGGCAAACAAGAGTTGTCGTCATTGTTGTCACACTCCAGCTCGTGAGTATTCCGCATGGCGTTTAGGCGGGGGGGGGTTTAGGGTTTAGGGTTTATAAGGGTTTATAAGGGTTTATAAGGGTTTATAAGGGTTTATAAGGGTTTAGGGTTTAGGGTTTAGGGTTTAGGTTGCAAGCATGGCCACCGGAGGCGACGTGGCTTCCACGCGGAGGTGGATCCAAGCCATGCAGCAGCACGGCTTCAACGCAGATGTGGCGAGCTCCAATATGGTGCTCAAGGTGCGCGGTGGACGCATCTAGCAATCCCTATAAGCCTAAGCCCTCTAAACCCTAAGTAAACCCTAAACCCTAAACCCTAAACCCTAAACCCTAAACCCTAAACCCTAAACCCTAAACCCTAAACCCTAAACCCTAAACCCTAAACCCTAAACCCTAAACCCTAACCCCTGCGTTGGGACCTGCAAAGCTTGAACCGAGGCCTTCGCAAGGTCCAGTGACCTGGAGGGCGCGCTCAGCTACCTCCACTCGATGGAAGTCCGAAATGATGTGAGTCGGCGCACCCAGTTGAGGGACTCGCAGCTCTGGTTGTTTTAGGGTTTAGGGTTTAGGGTTTAGGGTTTAGGGCTGAGGGTTCATAAATACATATATGCAAATATACCTATATAGAGAGAGATAGATATAGATGATATATGTATATGTATAGTGTATATATATACACACATACGTATGTATGCAGGCATGTAGGCATGGAGTCTGGGTATACATACATACACGCTCTGCCACGCAACAATATGGTTCGTATACAGCATGGCGTAGTATCGTTGAATTGAATGGAACATGAAATGGAATATGGAACGGAGCTGTCTGTATGTATGTATATGTCGGCATTTATACATACACACTCTGCTACGCAACAATTATGTTCGAATGTAGTGTAGTAGACTTGAATGGAACAGAACATGAAATGCCAATATGGAATATGCAATGGAATATGGAATGGCCGAATATGAATTACATGATAGTATGGCAAGACATTGATATGTAGCCCCGAGCATGAGTAGAGTCAGTAGAGGCTTCAACACTGCTGCCGACGCCTGCGCGAAACTGGGGCGCTTGGACCTGGTCGTGCAGGTCATGGACCACATGAGGAGCACGCAGGCGCGATGAAATCTAGTGATTACACAGTGTTTTTTTGGGTTCCCTGGACGAAGCCCTAAACCCAAAACCCCCAACCCTAAACCTTGAACCCTAAACCCTGAACCCTATAAACCCCAAACCCCAAACCCGCACCATTGCGGATGTCAGGTACTCCCAGACCTCATCACGTACACGGTTGCCCTCACGGCCTGCGGCAATGCATGGCCGGCCCGGGGACCTGAAGAGTTGGTATTTAGGGTTTAGGGTTTAGGGTTTAGCTTGCCTCTTGGCAGTGGGGTGTGCGCACAGGCTCGCTGGTCTGTATAGTTTGCAGGTCGGTGGAGCTCAGGGTTTTTTTTCCCAAACGAGGTTTTTCCCTGAGCTTGCTTGAGTCTTGCGGCACAAGTCCACGAAGACGGCCTGCTTAGCATGTAAGTACATACCCCGTCTGTATGGGTTTAGGGCTTGTTACTGGGCCCTCTGAGCCACAAACCCTCATTCAAGTTTGGCCCCCCCCCCCCCCCCAACAAAAATGAAATACAACACAACACATGGAAAAAACAAACAACGATATATGCAAAGCAAGAAGGTGGGCTGAACGAACATGAGGATACTATTATATCTCTCAGCCTCTAAAACAAGATGGCCAAGGTGATGTGGCAGGAGGCATTAGGCATCTTCCGGACAATGCAGTGCCAGAAGCTCGAGTTGGACCGCGGCTCTCTTGCATGGAAGGGCCGGGTACAAAAGTGTTTAGGGTTTAGGGTTTGGGGTTTAGGGTTTAGGGGGTAGGGTACAAAAGGGGCCTTATAATTAGAACAGGGTTTGGGGGTTGCTATATGTATATATAAATAGGGACCATACGGGAATGATATTAGTAATTATTCCGACACCTACATAACTTTACTTGATGCTCAGTAGTGCCCCAAATCATCTTTTTTCCTGGAATGGAACCCTTTTAAAAGCCATCACTAAGCGACGCCGATATGTTTGCGTTGCTGGGGAACCTAGAAGAAACCCTGAACCCCACACGCATAGTGCCTGCGCCTTGTTTTTCGGCTTCCACCTTGCGCAAATTCCTTCAACGTCTGCCTAGCGCCCGAACATCGGCAGCGTAGGCATTGATTGGGATTTTCTCCTTATACGAAGAGTCCTTCCTAGGGATTGAAAAGTTTAGGGAACATTAACCCCTCCTACACCCTCATATATGAATGAATAACCCCCCCCCCGCCCCCATTATAATTACCCTAAAATAACTACCATGGGGGGGGGGGGATACTATCATATCATCCCTATGAAGGAGCTGGTAGTGCGAAGGGGAACATCCCAACTCGCGAGCATTGACCAGATCCTGCAACCCCAAGCATTTTTGGATACCCTGTTTACTCTGTTTAGGGTTTAGGGTTTAGGGTTTAGGGTTTAGGGTTTAGGGTTTCGGGTTTAGGGTAGTCCTTGCCAGGCAGGAGAGGTCCACCATTTACATGTCAATCCTGCAGGAGTTTTGCATAAACGGATTGATTCCTGTTGCTATCCCGAGATTCCGAGTGTGACCACACATGCTGCCATGGCCTACAAAATTAAACCCTAAACCCTAAACCCTAAACCCTAAACCCTAAACCCTAAACCCTAAACCCTAAACCCTAAACCCTAAACCCTAAACCCTAAACCCTAAACCTAAACCCTAAACCCTAAACCCTAAACCTCGGTTGCAAGCGCAGTGCCCTTGGGCCACACGTTTGCTTAGAGGGGGATCTTCGAGGCGGATCCAGAGAGAAGGGGCCGCTTCCAGCTTGTTTGAAACTGCGAAGTAGACATGTGTATAGGGTTTAGGGTTTAGGGTTTAGGGTTTGCGGAGATTTGATGTTCCATGCATCCGGGCTTCCGGGCTTTGAGATCTCGGACATGGCTCCAGGCAACGCGCAGCACGCCCTACGCCGTGCCGGAGTTCCGCGCATGCTTGGGGATAAAAAGGAGGGGAGAGGGGTTTGAAGCCCTAAACCCTAAACCCTAGACCCTAAACCCTAAACCCTAAGCCGTAAAGTCACTTTTGGGTTCCAGGGCCCAGTTGATCCCCAACAAAAGCCCGACGGGTCAGCCAAGTACTTCGAAGCACGAACCAGTGAGGGTTTAGGGTTTAGGGTTTAGGGTTTAGGGTTTAGGGTTTAGGGTTTAGGGTTTAGGGTTTAGGGTTTAGGGTTTAGGGTTTAGGGTTTAGGGTTCGGCCGAGGGCTTCGTAAGATTCGGCACCTGGTCGCAGCATTTGGGCCCAGAGCGCCTTGTTGTTGCACGGAAGAAGGGTTTGCGGCCAACGGTCCCACCATGAAACGCGTAGAACCCAGACCCGAGCCCCAAACCCTGAACCCTAAAACCCTAAAACCCTAAAACCCTAAAACCCTAAAACCCTAAAACCCTAAAACCCTAAAACCCTAAAACCCTAAAACCCTAAAACCCTAAACCCTAAAACCCTAAAACCCTAAAACCCTAAAACCCTAAAACCTAAAACCCTAAAACCCGAAACCCTAAAACCCTAAAACCCTAAAACCCTAAAACCCTAAAACCCTAAACCCTAAACCCTAAAAACCCTAAAAACCCTAAAAACCCCTAAAAACCTAAAAAACCCTAAACCCTAAGCCCCCCCCCCCCCCCCCCCACAGGGCAGGAAGCCATGTGCGGCAGCGCGAAGAATTGGCTGCTTTGGCTTCTGCTGCTTGCAGGAGACTTGGTGGGATGCTTCCCCATAAGCCCGGACCCTAAACCCATTTAAGCCCTACCTCGACACTTATCTAAACAAGACAGGGACTCTAAGTCAGAACACCCCCCCTAAACCCTAAACCCCAAACCCTAAACCCTAAACCCTAAACCATCAACCCTAAACCCCAAACCCTAAACCCTAAAACCCCCCTCCCCCCCACCCCCCGACCATGTCAGGTGAAAACACCCAAACTCTCAGAGAAAAAGTCACTTTTGGACCTAGCTCTCCAAAGAGCACAAAAACCCTAAACCCTACACCGCAAACCCTAAACCCTAAACCCTAAGCCCCAAACCCTAAACCCTAAACCCTAAGCTACAGACCAGCTTTCTTCAGCTGCACAAGGCCAGCCTGGCCCCAAGGTTATCGAACGTCCGTGCTCCGAACTCCAACAAGCCCCTCTATATGTTAGGGTGTACTTAGGGTTTAGGGCTTAGGGTTTAGCGTTTAGGGTTTAGGGTTTAGGGTTTACGGTTTAGGGTTTAGGGTTACCAACAACACCTGGTTGCAGGCAATTTTCACCCTTACGACTGACCCCTACATATACGCCCAACACTAAAGCCCCTAAACCCGAAAACCCCAAAGAAAGCCCCAAGGCCCCAAAAGCCCAAAACCCCATAACCCCAAAACCCTCAAACCCTAAGCCTTAAACCCTGAACCCTAAGCCATGTGAGCCCCTGACGGCCCTTCTTAAAGGCCCTAAGCCCAGAGGCCCCTTACAACTGACCCTAACCCTAAAACCCAAAAGGCTATAAGTTCTATAAACCCTAAACCCTAAACCCTAAACCCTAAACCCTAAACCCTAAACCCTAGACCCTAGACCCTAAACCCTAAACCCGAAAAGGCCCTAAGCCCAGAGGCCCCCTGCGCCTCGGATCGGAGTCGGTGCTCGAGCCGCCCCACATCGGGTCTTTGCCACGCGACCTGCTGGGCCAGCTCCATGCCACTGGGCAAAGAGTTCTGGGTTTGCATGGGTTTTAGGGGGGGGGCTTCGAGAGCTTTTTTTGGCTTCTTGGGGGGCGGAGGGGGAGGGGGGGGGGCTGGAGTTTTTTTTTTTTTGGGGGGGGGGTTTGGAGGTGGGTTGGGGTTTTTTGGACTTTTTTTTTTTTTTGGGGGGGGGGGGGGCTATGGAGGGCTTGGGAGAGTCCATTTTGGAAGCACGGGGCTTTCACGTCGCCAAGTGTCAATTGGGTGTGGGGCAGCCCCTAAACTTGGGATGTTCCCAGAATACTAACAGGCCTTAATAGGGATTACAAAAGCACCCCCCTAATTATTATAATCCCTATGAAGGACCCTAGACCCTAGACCGTAGACCCTAAACCCCAAACCCTAAAAAACCCCTAATTATTACAATCCCTATTAAGGACTCTTAGTCTAAGGGGGAACATCCCCTCCAGCACTTGCCCTCCAAGGCTGTTGTCGAACACTTGGCGGAGCTCCTGGGGCTGGAGGAGAAGAGCAACCCTAGGGTTGAGGGTTGAGGGTTGAGGGTTTAGGGTTTAGGGTTTAGGGTTTAGGGACCCTAAGGCCCTGGACCGTAAATTCCTGAAGCCAACGAACTGGAACTCCGCGCCCGACACCTGAGAAAGCCCTAAACCAGAGCCTTTCATTTAGCCCCACCACCTGGAATCCCTAAACCCTGAACCCTAAACCCCTTAACCTCCCTAAAGCCTAAACCCTACACCCCTTCACCATCCCTCAACCCTACACACCAAAGCCTAAAGCCTAAAACCCTACACCCTAGACATGTATTGCCCTTGGGAACTATTTTTTATTTTTGTTTATATCAAACCCAAGAGCATATTCGAAAGAATGTTTTAATAGGGTTCTAAGGGGAGTATAGAAACCCTAAACCCCCCCCTAAGACCCCCCAAAACAGACCTTCCTTCCCCTCAACCCCAACCCTAAACCCTAAACCCTAAAACCCTAAATCCTAAACCCCAAAACGCTCGAGGAGGAGCTGCACAGCGATCTGCGAAGCCTGGCCGACAAGGAGGCGCAGCCGGCTGTGCGCGAGGGGTCCAGGGTCCAGGGCTTGTTTGGGGTTTAGGGTTTGGGGTTGAGGGTTTAGGGTTTGGGGTTTGGGGTTTGGGGTTTAGGGTTTAGGGCTTAGGGGAGGGAGGGTGTTTCTGGTTCAGAGTGTAGGGTTTGGGGTGTGAGGGCTCAGGCCAGTGTAGGGTTCAAGGGGTTTATGTTCGAGCTCACGTTCTGACAGCCGCCTCAAGTGCCTTAAGCTCCTAGAAACCCTAGAAACCCTAGAAACCCTAGAAACCCTAAACCCTATAAATCCTAAGCCCTAACTTAATTGTAAGGGTTTAAGGTTGACCGAGTCGCCATGGGTCTCCATATGGGTCTTCTAGTGGGTCTTTTTCGTGGTTTCATGTGGGTTGGTGGGTTGGTCCTGCAGGCGTGGGGGTGGGAGGGGTAGCATGGAAAGATGGAAATGGCACCGCACGAAGCGATTCATCTTCACCATTCAGCAGCCCTAAACCCTAAACCCTAAACCCTAAACACTAAACCCTAAACCCTAAACCCTAAACCCTGCAAGTTGAGGCTGACGCCTGCACAATCCTCCTGCTCCTGGCAGATCAGGTTTGGCGGGGCTTGGGCGTTGGGGATTTCAAGGCTTCGGGTTTTGGGGTTCAGGGCAACGTGGGTTTAGGGTTTAGGGTTTGGGGTTTAGGGTTTATGGGGTTCGGAGTTGGGATTTTGGAACGACTTGAGGCTTCAGGGGCTTAAGAATCTTCAGGGTGTTGCTGACTTCGGGCGCGTCCTTTGTGACTTTGCCGCAGGCCTGGCTGGGATCCTTCACCCCTGGCTTCCTAGCTCCTATCTGTGTCTCGAAGACCTGGATCCCCAATCCCTAAGTATAAGCCCTCAACCCCTTCATCATCCTATAAACCCGAAACCCTAAACCCTCCTGCACCCTAAACCCTAAACCCGGAGCCTGCAACTCCCGCGAGAAGGCCCTGGCCAGTCCAAACTACGCAGCAGTAGGCAAGGCAGGGGGTGGGGGGGGCATTCCACTCTGCATGTTTCTTGTGTAGGATTTTGGGGTTTAGGGTTTAGGGTGTAGAGTGCAGGTTTTAGGGTTTAGAGTGCAGGGTTTGGGGTTTAGGGTTCGGGTTCAGGGTTTAGGGTGCAGGGTTTAGGCTTTGGAGCGCTCAGGCCTCAAGCCCCAAGCAAGCAATCCCCGCAACCCTCAACCCTCCGACCCCAAACCCGAAACACTAAACCCAAAACCCTAAGCCCCTGGAAGGGCGGCCACAACCCCACGTCCCGACTCGCCTACCGGGAGCGCCGCGACGTCGTCTTCGTCCATCCGGTGTCGGCTCAGCGACAGGCATCCGGCGCTTTTTGGGGACTGCGGTTTAGGGTTTAGGGTTTTCGGGTTTCGAGTTTAGGGTTTAGGCTTGAGGATTGAGGGTTCATAAGTAGGGCCGTAGGGAAACAAGGGTTATAACCTTACGT